AATCTCATCTTTCTGCCCACCACTACAAGAGTTTCCGGTCTTCTTACACCCTGTGTTCCACTGGTTCCTGAGGGGCCTCCAAAACCTACCACCTCCTGACCCTGCATGGCATCATGGAACCGCTTGGTTTTGCTAAATGTACTAACTGGAAACCTGTTTAACCACTTGCCATGGTTGACTTCTGCCTGCTCTCCTGGAAGCCATCGCATCAGCCAGGCATGCCAGTGAGGGGTGTGTCTTATGGGTGGCCAAACACTGCACTTCTGTTCTCCAATGACGACACCAGCTCTCCATCGTTCTCAAGATAAGCTTGCTAAGTAGCCCATATGTGTGGTGTATGGAGACCACAGAGAGGAAGGACAGGTTGCTCACCTATTGTTCTTTAGGTGGTCACCTGTGCATTCACACAGCCTGCTCACTAGCCCCACTGGTTGTCCTTCTGACAATCACCACCTTGCTTGCCAAGGGCGCACAGGAGCTCCCTTGGTCCTGAGACCTATGGTGGCATCAACTGACGGAAGGGAAGGATCTGACCCCATGGAATACTTGGCTATGGAAGCTTCCCTTCCGCAGAACCAGAGCCCAAATGAGTGAATGCATGGATGAACACTCAAAGAATGACAGTTACAGGTAAGCAAGGTGACTTTCTATTGGGTTTTGTTTTGTCTGGTTGGAAGAGCCTTGTCCTGGTAACAGCTGCATTACCTGCAATTATACAAGCAGAGGGCAACTTGCACTCATATCTGCTCAGACATGGTTGCACATGAATGTTTATTGCAGGTGTCTCAGGGACCAAACTGATAGGATATAAAATTTCAAGTAAATAAGTGTGTAGCTTTTGGGGTTAGAAAGTTTGGAGGAATAAGGAACATTTCTGGATCTTCCTGAAAGATCTTTTTGGAGGATCTTGGCAGCATTTACATCTCTCTATACCAGAACTTGATTAATTGCTTCCTTGAATATTTTTTATAGGGGAGCAGGGATTGTTATGAAATTGTAATTATATTTATTTAGTAAATTAATATCTTTCCTTTTTGCCAAGGCTCAGGATGGATTCTACCATTTCTCTTTTACATCACCACATGAACCCTGTGAAGTAGGTGAGCATAATTATGAGATAAGTTAGTCCAGTGAAGTTTGTGACTCGAGGGATTTGAACGTGGGTCTCTTGAGCCTTAGTAGTGATGCTGCATAAATGAAAGCATCAGATTGGATGGAAGGTGCCTGTAGAAAGCTGAGAGCTGTATCTGGTTGCCGGCAAATGCATGGCCTTTAAACCATGCAAACATTGCTCCCATAGTTGGTAAGGTGCAGCATGATTTAATACATGGATTGTCTGTGTTAACTTATAGCACATAGAAAGTTTTTTCTATGTGCACCCTGGCTAACTTTTTTTACCTCTTCTATGATTGAAAAATCTGTTTCTTTTGCATCCAGGCTTCTAATTAAGACTGGTATTAGCATTTCAAATTTAAACTCTTTATGGCTAGTTTCTGCTTTTCATTAAGCTGTACATGAAACCAAGAGTAGATGAGCTAAATATGTAAGGCTTTCATGTAGTAAGTATACCCTAATGTGAGTTTGCCAGATGCTGCTGCCAATCCACCTTGTAGCTGGTTTTCTAGTTGTACATCTGGTTTTGACACTAAGAATGTGCATGTCCAGCTGTTTTTCCTACTGCCCTATGGTGCAGTGGAGCCATGGTTCACAGGGGTGCTGTGATGACGCTCATTTATTATCAGGGATGCCAATATCATAGGCCACCTCCCCCTAATTTCTTTTGAGAATGAGTCTTCTAATTGAAGAGTTGATCTGAGTCTTCACAGTAGCTGGTGAGAAGAGAATGGCTTCTCCATGCTCCTTGTTTAATACAAAATAACCACTTGCAGATCTTTAGCTATTGGTGGTACAAAAATGTAGTGAAAGTAAATACATACTTGGGAGTGGCTTGGACTTGAACTGGCAATGAAGACCTATGAGTTTTTTAAAGGCCTGCTCCCGATAGAGATGATAATGATTGTGCATTCTCCTAGCATGAATCTTGGCGTCACCAAAATGGCACCACCTGCCAAATGGTAGACTCAAAGAAATCCAAATATTTGTGAAAATAGAACACAAAATGCTAAATGGAACAAACCGGTAAGAGGGTGAAAATGGCTGAAATAATCCAGTGAGGACTGAGCATGTTTAGGAGGTACAGGATGCTGGCCAAATTCAGAAGGGGAATAAAAGGAAAGTAAAATGAAATGCTGCTTTCTGGACAGGGGCGTATCTGGTTGACTGGAACCCTGAATGTGGGCACTTTACATTGCAGCATTTTATTTCAGGTCCTTTTCATGTGCTATTAGATTGTTAATTTGATTCTTCTGCCCTTAATTAGTTTTTTGGTCTTTTAATGCATTTGTAATTGCATTTTAATGTGTGCTTATTATTTGAGCTGTGCTGAGGTTCCCTAAAGGGCTGAAAAATGGCATATGAATCTTAACAACTACAACCAGAAGGAAGTTGTTTGGGCATTTCCCCAAGTCACTCCTCCAGAATAAAGGACAATTCCTTCTAGCCTATTTGTTTAGCTCCACCACTGAAGTCCCTGTGAATGTGTTGAAATGGGTAGTTGTTAGTGGATAGACAATACCAAATAGAAAAATTTTCAGTTTTGCTGCATGCATGCTTGGGGTTGAAGTGACTCGAATGATCTTCGCAGTCTTCATTTACGTACCCTAGTCAGGGGCTCTACTGCAGCTGGACTTGGCAGTGTGAATGCAGGGCCCACAGCCCCTTCCCTCAGCAAGTACCAGAGGAGGCAGTCATGGCAAATAATGGGGCCTGAGGGCAGGAAATGGCAGGAGGAACAACGAAGTAGATTTGTTTTAGCATAGGCAGTGTTTTATAAGCATTGACTCTGGCTTGAAGCTAAATCTTCAATACATGCTCATCAAACATTTGGCGTTTTTAAGCTGCCATTTATCTAAATGATTATATCTTATTTATAGGCATTGACATTTTGAAGAAAACTTGAGAGTAGGATTCCATTTCCGTTATTACTCACTAGCCCTGAATTTTGGGAAGTGGATGGTGCTCCCTCTGCTTTTAACTAATTTCATTCAAAAGAACCATTTGAAAAAGATAATTTAGATTACACTGAATAGTTGTCTATTTGTGGGTATCCTGCAGATCTCTGACTATTAACACTGCTAAAACAGAAGGCTCTGAACTTAGTGCATAAGTTTGAAGCTTGAAAGAATGAACTTTATTTACAGTCAGGAATGGAAAACAAAAGGATAAACAGGTGTATCAAACTAAAGGGAGATAAAACCCATAAGCATTTCTTTTAGACAAGTTTAAACTCAGGCTCCTTTTTTGTAAATAACGGGGGAACCCTTTGAAATCAGGTTGCCAGCTAAAATGATAAAACCTGGTCTATTCTGGGGCCAAGTTTATACTCTTTTCAGTGCCAGGCCAAAACCTTTTTATTTAAACAGTATTTTAAACTTTAATAGTTTTTAAGTTTAGTCGCTCTGCTTGTTTTGTGATTTATTGTTTTGTTCTGGTTTATTATTTATTGAAATTGTTGTTTTAATTATCTTTTTAAATATTGTAAGCCGTCCTGAGATCTTGTAAAATAGGACGGCATACAAAAGCTTTTAATAAATAAATATTCTGTGCTCCGCATCACCTGTAGTCAATGGTTTTCCATCAGAAAAGGGCTTCAGTACTCATCCTAGGGTCACAGACTAAAGAATGTGATGTCTTCCTGGGGAAGGTCCCCTCCACCAAACCCTCAGCCAGTTTGAGGTGAGCCTCGAAAGCCAAACCCTGGCTCCCTCGCTCCCACTGCAGCCCGGCTAAAAGCAGTCAGTTGGTTTTTTGGCAGGGATGAGCTCCATGCAGGTGGTGGTAGGTGTGTGTGCGCTCACACCTACTCACAGAATGAAGCTTCTTGTGAGCAGCAAAACTCTCAATCAAAAAGTTAATTTCCTGAACTTGAAATGTGCCTTTCTGAAACCCTGTTTTTATTGTACGGTCAGCTTTGTACATTCATATTACAGGATTATTACAGAATTATGTATTCAGCGGTGGTATGTGAACAATGAATATATTTTCGGATTTTGTAGGTTTCCACTCATTTGCACCTGACTCTCACTTATTTTTACTTTTTAATCTTGCTGTTTCTCCTAGCAAGGAACCCAAGACAATGAGCCATGGTCTTCGGTCGTCTCTAGTTCATCCTTACAAATAAGCCTTTAAGGATATTTAGGAGTGAGTTTCATGGTGGATGGGGACTGGAACCTAGATTTGGGTGCCATTCCAGTATTCTAGCTGCTGCCGTGCACTGGCTCTCATCGCACATCCTTTTTCACGTTTAACCAAGCAGGTGCACAGTACAGAAATGTGCTCCTGTTGTTAAAGCATTGACTGTACCAATGTCTTTCTTGTCCCCAGTTTGTGCACATAGTTAGACAGTGCAGTCTCTGCCTAAAAGTTAAACGTTTTTGTATGGTTCTTGGCTTGTTCTGGCTTTTCATTTTCATTTATTTATCACCTTTCTATTTTTTAATTTAATTTGAGTGGCCAAAAATAGAGCACAATTTCAAACGCCAGGTAAAGCATACTAAAGCAGAAATATATTAATGCCGCAACTGAGAAAAAGAAACAATTCAAATATAACACTGGCAGTTAAAAATTAGGTTCATAAACCTTCCCTTAAATTCTTCTAAAACAGAAGTTGGCTGCTTGCCAAGTTTAATTTTCCTGTAATTTATATCTCTGGTTAAATTTCGTTATGTTCCTAGTTTTTGTATTGCTTTTCAAAGCTGGTAAGCCATCTAGGTTGTCAGTAAAAAGGTAAGTAAGAATCTCTTCCATAAGTGCTAAATAATGTTACTGAATTGGTTTAGAGTTAGTATCCAGATATTTCTCTTTCTCTGGTCACCAGGTTATGCCACTGGCTAATTTTAACTCTTTTTTACTGTATCTTCTCAATGTGTACTTTGTTGTAGGGTTTGAAATGGCAAAATCCTTTGCGCTGCATGGTGCACACGTCATCCTTGCCTGCCGAAACATGCAGAGAGCCAGTAATGCTGTACAACGCATTCTAGAAGAATGGGTAAGAGAATATATTTCTTGACTCTTCTCCATCTTTATCGTGTGCAAATGCTCTCGGAAAACCTGAAGGCAGTTCAGAAGGGAAGGATGGAGCGGGTGTGTTGATTCACTTTATCCAAATCTGCCTTTGGTACAACCGGCCTTTGTAATGCGGAAGCCATGGTGGTGCTAGCTGTAGTTTGTTGCTTTAGCCCTGGTTGAGATTCCAAATGTAGAATGCTAGCAGGACTAATCAGTTGAATTAATTCCGGGCAACGCAGGTGTAGATTGGGAGAGAGCAGCTAAACTTGCTTGTTCATGCCCCAAACGGAGAAGTAGGGAGGTGTTTTAAGCATGCCTTTTTTCATAGCTATGTGAGCATTTTGTTCAGGCAAAATACACACTAATATTATTCTGGAGTTCTATTGGCGGTTATGGAATTTCACTGAGTTCTTGTCCTGAAAAGGCTTATGATTAAAATTAATATAGTTGGGGTGAAGGAAGATGGAGGGCAGGTGAGAAGGAAGAACACCCAACAGTTCCTTTCTGTGGTCCCTGTGCATCACACGTGTGGGCTCTGCATGTAGCCTGTTGTCAGGAACATTTCACAGCTGAGAAGATATTCAGGGGGAGCCCTTCTCACATCCTTGTGTTTGTATATATGGTAGGAATTCCTCCCCACCCCTTAGTTCTTCTGTCTTCTTGATCGTTCTTCAAACCTGCTGTTTTCCTTTTGCCTTTCTACTTCACTTCTTTCTGATTGCATAAATGTGCCATGTGCATCAGCCAGCCCCTGCTGATAGATGGGCATCCCCTTTGCCTGCTTTGCCTTGGCGAGGGACAGGTCATCATTCCGTGCCTGCACTGCCAGGCCTTCGCCAAGCTGGCCAGAAAGCATCTGGCTGACTGCTTTGGGGTGGAACTTTGAAACCGCTCTCCAGGGGGTGGCTGAGAGCAAACAGAGCTAAACTGCCCCTTCTGATGGTCTGTCCTCACCTCAGTTCACGGTTCCTTCAGCTGGCACTCTAGCCAGTCACCTCTGCCTACACTGGGGAAATCTTAAGATGCCTAGGGTGAAGAAACTGGCTAAAAAAGCCAAGGAGGTGAGGTTGGGGGAAGCCACAACATCTAAGCACAAGCAGCATTCAAAGGAGCACTGTTGGATCTGTCCAGGAAGGAGACTGACATTGGATGCCAAGGAACGAGGATCATTTGTACCAGGGCTGGAACCCAGCTTGGTCCGAGTATTGGAAGGGCAGATCTGAAAAACTCCGCAGGCTGCTTGGCCCTCTTCCGAAGCCTGGATTCCACCACAGCCAACTATTCTATCTGCAGCCCATCTGCAGACCACCATCACCAGATCTGATTGCTGCGGGGATTGCTTGTTCTCCCATCTTGGGCTGGGTCAGTCACTCCAGCTGTTCTGTTCCGCCTCCATTCGAAGGGTGTTAGGATCCATGGGAGTATCACTGCCTTCTTTGACCCTTGCTACAGAGCACAATACTAGGAGATGGGAGCTGTTCTGTGGCACTTACGTGTTTTGAAGTCCGTCACCTCTGCCACCATGACCAGAACTGCCAATTTCTGCACCTGCAGAATATGCTGCCACCTCCGCTACGCCAAAATTTTGATTGCATTCCCCTGACTCTGTACATTCCAGGTTGCCACCACCATCTCTGTGGACATCAGAAACTATGCATTTGGCACTAACACCATGACCTATTCTCTGGATGTGGTTGTGGGAGCCCAGGACCCTGCTTCTGCATCTCTCTGGTCAGGTCTTCATCTCTCATTTCTCTAAGCAGGTCAAGAGGCTACCCAGCTACTAATGGAGAGGGTGTTGGACCTAGTCTTCAATGCCACCTTCACTGAAGGATCAATACCCATGGCCATACCATTTCTGTATATTCTCCTACAAACTGTGTGGTATTCATGGAAGGCCCAGTCATTGATAGCATTGGAACCAGTTAACCCTCATTTCCATGCTGGGTTCTGGCTCAACATTTTTCCTTGCAGTCACTATGATTCCAGTAAATACTGCCAGAGCTGAAGACACTCAAACCACCAGCAGGAATTATTATTATTATTATTTTTATTTTTATAACATTTCTATGCCGCCCCTTGCCGAAACCTCGGGGCGGCTTACAACACAATAAAATACATTGAAATACAATAGAACATAATAAATTACCATTAAATACAAAAATACAAAAAATACACTGAGTTACAAATATAAAATTAAAATTATCAGTATAAAATAAGTAAATAAAAATATAAGAGGAGAAAGAGAAGGAAGAAGAAGTTGTCCTGGCCAGATCATATGTTTTAACAATTAAAATGATGTTTAAATAAAAAGGTCTTTACCTGGCGCTGAAAAACCAGTAACGATGGTGCCAGGCGGACCTCTTTGGGGAGTGAATTCCATAGGTTGGGCGCCACCGCAGAGAAAGCCCTCCTCCGAGTACTTACTCTCCTAATTTCTTTCATGGAGGGTTACTGGTTCCCTGGGATGATCCCATTCCTTCCCCTGGTTTGTGTGGACAGTGTTTCCCTTCCTTGCTGAATGGGAAGCAATAACTTGGGATGCCTGGATTCTGTACATTGTGCAGAGGGGTTACAGGATTTAGTTTGATGCCCTCCAAGCCCTTGGTATTTTCCATCCATGCCAGAGCAGTTTGTGCCTGTAGGAGAACAGTCCTTTTCTCAGTGCTTTGATGATGACACCAACCAGCCATCTGATGATGGGTGTGTGATGCACAGACACCACAAAGGAGAAGGGCAGGATGGTGTACATTAGTGATAGCCTACATGTACATAGTTAAAATGCTGAAATAGTTAAAAAAGCAGTCTATATTTGGGCCAAAAAATAGGAGACAGTTATTTCTTTTACAAGATTTTGAAGTGAAAATTTTGTCACTCTCATGTACAATATTGCCAATAGTGTGGGCTAAATGATCAGTAAGTCTTGGAAACATGTGATCTAAAATGTGCTGTCTAAATGGAGCCAGTTCTCATGAAAATGTTTGATGTACCATTATAAACTGCCTGTCCACAAAATCTTTATTGCGTTAACTTGAGTGCCATGTCAATGCATATTGTATAATCACCTGGGCTTAATGCTGTCATTACATCTGGCAATTAATTGTACAAATTAGAGATTATGAAACTATTCAACATGAAGGGTTTTTTTTAAAGAATGCAGTGGGTGAACAGGATTCAGTGACCACTGAGCTCACGGTTTCTTTCTCAACACCCAAGGTGGGTGACATAGCTTTCAAACCCTAAAGGTCCTTGAAGAATTGGTTGCTTCACCCTTTCCATAGCAATTCTGTTTCCACTGGTGTTGGGCTTCAGAGAACATTTGAAGTGTAAAATAATTGTTACAGTGCCACAGTTGGCTGCTATTCCTTGATGAGTGGCTGAAGATGGACACCTCTCTTTCCATACTTTGTGTTCAAGCTGACTTTGTGGAGGGCCACATGGGGATTTTGTGTATCCAGTCAACACAACCATGAAGGTCGCATTTCTGGGCATCAGTTGAAGAACAAAGGTCAGGTGTAGCCTTTGTTTCAATCTACTTTGGAAGCATTGACTTTTCTTTATCAAGCAGTCCGCACTCCTAATTGTTCACAGTACACTGTCCTCCATAATGAGGGTAGTCCAAGTACCCTCAATGCATCTCTGCAATGCTTTGTTGTTGTTTATTGAGAGGAACTAATTAGCTTGGATTATTGCACTAATATTATGGCACTTCAACAGTCCCTTAGATTTATGACTCTGGAAAAATAAACAAATGAAGTGCAGGTGCTGGAGCAGAAACAATAAGTTATTACTGAACTTTAATTACTTGAATTGTGTAACTAGGAGAGAATTAGTTGTGAACTACAGGATGTATAAAATTTATTTCAAATTGTAAGCAATCATGGGAAGAAGATAAAAGACAATGGCTACTTAAAGTGAAGAAGAAAAGCATATTTGCAACCTTTGTTTTTGTCCAATATTCACATATTCAAAGTGAAATGACCTGGTTGCTTGAGGTGCAGAATACTCATATCCAATATACTAATGTTCACATCAGAATAAATCAAGCTGAACTTTCTGGTCCTTCCTTCAGGCTGATGAAAATATATATTTTTGAGAGGTCCACAGGGATGGGACTCGAAGTTGGGGACAAGCCCCTCCTCCTCATTTCGGCGCAGGCTCCTGGGTCATGCTAAGGATCCAAATGGAACTGAGACTGTGGAAGTGGGCAGGAGACAACAGGATGGCATTCAGTGTGGATAAGTGCAAGGTCTTGCACTTGGGGCATAGGAATGGGTGTCATAAGTACAGGTTAGGGGACAAGTGCTTGGAGAGCGGCACTTGTGAAAGGGACCTTGGCGGGCTGGTTGACTGCAGGCTAAACATGAGCCAACAGTGTGATGCAGCGGTCAAGAGGGCAAACTCCACCCTTGGTTGCATAGCCAGAAGCGTGGCTTCTAGATCGAGAGAGGTATTACTACCACTCTATATGACTCTGGTGTGCCCACAACTGGAATATTGTGCTCAGTTTTGGGCCGCTCGTTACAGGATGGATATAGCCAGGTTAGAGTCAGTGCAGCGTAGGTCCCCAAGCATGGTGGCTGGATTGCAGGGAAAGACGTATGAAGCAAGACTGAGGGAACTGGGTCTCTTCAGCCTGGGGAAGAGGAGACTCTGAGGGGATCTGTTGGTGACATACAGGTATGTGAGGGGATGCCACGCAGAGATGGGTCACGGCCCTTTTTCCCCTGCAGTGGAGGACAGGACACATTCCAATGGAGCAAAGCTCAGGGAACCAAGAGTTAGGGTGGATGCCAGGAAGTGCTTCCTGATGGTTAGGACCCCGAGGGTATGGAATGGGCATCCACGGGAGGTGGTTGAGGCCCCATCGGTGAGGGTGTTCAAGGATAGGCTGGACGTCCACATGGTGGGCATGTTGTGAGCGGAGCCGGCTGGAGCCGGGGGTCAGACTAGATGGTCCAGGAGGCCCCTTCTGACTCA